ACGCACTCAGCTCCATATAAGGCACGCACAGAGCGCTGCCGCTGCCAGGAAATCTGCACTTCGAGGATCACAAAGTGCTGCTGCGCCTGCTGCGCCTGCCACGAAATCTGCACTTCGAGGTTCACAAAGCGCTACACCTGCCACGAAATCTGCACTTCAATTTCAGGTCAACAAAGCGCTGCGCCTGCCACGAGATCTGGACCTCCAGGTTCAGAAAGCGCTGCGTCTGCTGAAATCTGCACTTCGCGGTGCACAAAGCGCCACGCCTGCCACGAAATCTCCATTTCGAGGTTCACAAAGCGCTGCGCCTTCTACGAAATCTGCGTTTCGAGGTTCACAAAGCACTACGCATGCCACGAAATCTGCACTTGGAGGTTTTCACAAAGCGCTGCGGCTGCCACGAGGTTCACAAAGCGCTGCGCCTGCTATGGAGTGAGTGGGGATATGGAGTGAGTGGATGGAGTGAGTGGTCACTCACTCACTCACTCACTCACCCACTCACTCACTCAGTCGTGCACTCACTCACTCACTCAGTTGTGCACTCACTCACTCACACGAAATCTGCACTTCGAGGTTCATCATGCGCTGCGCCTGCCACGAAATCTGCACTTCGAGGTTCACCGGGCGCTGTGCCTGCCGCGAAATCTGCACTTCGAGGTTCACCAAGTGCTGGACCTGCCACGAAATCTGCACTTCGAGGTTCACAAAGCGCTGCGCCGGCCAGGAAATCTGCACTTTGAGGTTCACAAAGTGCTGCGCCTGTTACGAAGTCTGCACTTCGAGGTTCACAAATCGCTGCGCCTGCCGAAATCTGCACTTCGCGGTGCACAAAGCGCTGCGCCTGCCACGGAATCTGCACTTCGAGGTTCACAAACCGCAGCGCCTGTCACGAAATCTGCACTTCGAGGTTCACCAAGCGCTGGGCCTGCCATGAAATCTGCACTGCGAGGTTCACAAAGTGCTGCGCCTGCCACAAAATCTGCAAACGAGCCACATCTCCAGAAGTCACGATTCACTGCACCTGTCACGAAATCAGACCTCCTCGAAGATCACCGCCATGTCCAAAGCGCTGTACCTGCCACGAAATCTGCATTTCGAAGTAAAACCGCTCCGATCCCCGGCACCTTCCACGAAAAGTCGATGTTGGACCACGAAAACGCGAGGTTCCCCTTGCGCCTGCCACGAAAAGCGACCACCATGTCCGAAAACGCGCACGGCACCACAACGAGAGCGCAGTCGCTAGAAGCACCCCGCGCCCATGCAAATTTCGTGAGCCTGCGCAGTCGAAACGCACGTCGATGGTTTCGAGAGGCATGAATGCACTGTAAATAGCAATGAACTAACCGTTAACGTCCGCGCGCCCCAGCGATCTAAGCACAGCTGCTTAACCATTACCGTAAGAACCCCTAAGTGTGTCCACACTGATTGGTGAAAAAAACGCGAAAAAATGCACGCTAAAAAATACGAGCGTGAAAGAGGCACAAAAAAAGCACGAGAAAGCGCACGAGAAGCAGGATTGAAATTGGTGTTCGGAAGGTTGTCCCCGCGGAAACGACTGTTACTGTGGGGGCACCAGGGTCTAATATATGGATAATTGTTTGACATGTTATAGGCATTATGAAATATTAACGGATGATGCTTCCCTCTCTGATGCGTATATCAGAGAGCTCCGTCGTCTCCTGAAAGATTTGAATTCATCACATGATAGACCCCTGCTGAAAAAGAAACGCTCGATAACACGCCAAAAGGCAAGGTATGCACACACACAGACAGACACGCTGAGGGCTACTTTTCGCAACGCCAAAACATATCTTCTAAACTTGCCTTCAGCAGTGTTTGTACGAGTACATTGCATATATATTCACATATATACTGTACATTCTGAGTAAAACATCTGCGCACATGGCATCACTTTAGCCAAAGAGCTGTGCCTAGATGCTGGTCGTCTAGAACTTTGTTGCACGGCTTGCAGCGCAGGATGCCATCGACTGTTTCCTGATTGCAAAAGCCAATTTCCAAGGATCTGCGAGGTCCAAGATCAGGCGTGAAGCGCTCTCCACAGCACCACCGGCTTTTTCCGGCGCGGGTGGCTCCAGGAGTCAATGATCTGAACACCGACAAAGCAAATCTAAGCGGATGTTAGCTGCAGCTGCGAAAACTGCAAGCAGCTTGTTTTCGTAGACCTGTCCAGTACCGAAATCAATGCCATTTGGGGATCTACCTTCTCGCATTGTGTGAACCTCGTGCAAATTTGGTTTCCGCTCCGGTTAAGACGTATCGGTAAAGAAGCCTTCATGTTCTGCACCTCCCTCCGAGAAGTGTTTACTCCGCCAGCCCTGCTGTACATAGCGCACCGGGCCTTTTTCGACTGTGGACAGCTCACTCACTTCACAAAGATTAGTCAACCAACCACGTGGAGAGGGCCGTACGTAGAAAGCAATACCTTTGCCTTGTGCGCCAATTTTCAGCGCCCTACTTGGCCCAGAGTGAACTGACATGGACTGACCAAATGCTCTCTCTCTCTCTCTCACTCACTCACTCACTCAATCAATCACTCACTCACTCACTCACTCAGTCTCTCTCTCTCTCTCCCCCTCTCTCTTTTGCTCCCTCCCTTTGAGTTGGTCTCCCTTTGAGTTGGACTGACCAATTGCTCTCTCCCTCTGAGTTGGCTCCCAGAGTGGACTGACCAATTGTTCTCTCCCTTTGAGTTGGCTCCCAGAGTGGACTGACCAACTGCTCTCT